CAAAAGATTAATTGTGATGCTCATCAGACGACATTTTTTTTTTGAATGCCTTGAAAAGATCTATCAACGTCAGTATATAGTTAATTTCTATATATAAAAATTTGTGGCATTTTCAAGAGGTCAATTAAATTCACCATCAGTAAATTAGATACAAAAGTTAAAGAAAAATCTCTGCATAAATCCAGGATAGAGGTTTGGAAATAAGTTATGATGATATTATGCAATTGTTGTCCATGAAAAGTCTAATGAGGGCTGCCGAGCTAGAGAATAGCGTCCAAGTCAATTAGGAAGACTCTGACTCACCTGTAAGAATGGAAAGTGGACGGGCTGTTCAGCTTTGACTGCGGCGTTTTCCGGCTTCGCGTCCATTCCGGAACCGTTTCCTTCCCGTTTGCGAAAATCGGCCATGCGCTGAGGGGCGGAGCATTGGCGGGGCGGAGCCGCCGCATCTCCACCAATCAGCGACGAGCAGCACTCTGTTTGCGCTGGCTACCGTATCCGGCTGAATGCTAACGAGTGTTTTGACAGCAAGCTGCGGCCGGATAACAACGCACTGCCGTTCAGGAAAAGACGCATGAAATAGAAGAAAAGAAGTTGTAGTAGAAGGCAATGCAGGGGGTGTTTCGGGTGAGATGGATTTACGGAAAGATGTGATACAAGGGCTATAGAGCATTTTTTCTAGGCTGTTCCAATTTCTTCAAAAATTATTTTTCTCTTAAAATGGCTTAGCATATTCAAGGTGATATTTATATTACTTCTAAACCACGAAGAAATTAATCAAATAGCATAAGAATTACTAGTTTTTGAAGTCAATTTCACATCTTTTACTTATACTTCAAGATACAAAGCGCATAAAACTGTCTGAAAAACCATCCTTACCCACCCGTTTGCAATGACATGTGTTTTTTCTTGTCAAATCTATGCTTTTCTTTCCAACCTAGGACAGCTGGCTTTGATTTGATGTAATTGGCAAGCGAACGCATGCGCGTGTCGAAACAATGACACATCATTAGTGAGAAGGGTGGAACCGCTTGTTCTATGTGGATCTATTCAATAAAGGACACGATTCTTAGCACTAATAGGGACACTTAATTTTGAATCTTTAAAGATTTTTGAAGAAAAAGGGTAAAATTAACGGAAAAAAAATCGAAATTTCCCAAGCAATAGAAAGATCATGCCTCCGAG